GGAGATCCTATTTCTTGAGGCACCTATGAATAGAATATTGGTTCAAAATGTCTTTGATCGAAGATACGATATCCAACTTACCGCGAAAAACGCAGATTACTCTGGCGCCGGGGAAGTTAGGATATACACAGATGGCTCCAAAACCAACAGTGGTACCGGAGCCGGTGTCTTCTCGTACGACCTGAATATAAAAATATCTACAACCTTAGACAAACTAAGCACAATCTTCTAGGCGGAATGTATTGGCATTACCAGAGCGGCGCAGGCGGTTGCAGCCAGAGACATCAGAGAGTTAAATATTAAGATCATCTCTGACAGTGCATCCGTGCTTCAAGCCCTACGTAACAACACAATAACTCATGGTAAGGGAGTGCCATAATGTACTTCAACCCATTGCGGTAATCAACACGGTAACTCTGCAATGGATAAAAGTACACGGCAAATCAATTGGAAACAATGGAGCAGACTGATGACTACTCTCAGTATCTCTTACTAGTAGTTTTTTTCCTCTCCTCTCTAGGGGCAGACACAAAAGTGTATGTTCCGGAACTTTTGCTGCCCATATCTCAGGCCCAAATTAAAATGTAGCTGCGTGAAAGAACTCAGAAATCATACTTGATAGAGTGGAAAATAGGTGAAGGATACCGGCAAACGCACCCTTACCAGACTAAATAGGGACAAACTCCGCAAGATTATAGTAAAACCCTGACTGATCAATAAACAAACACCTATATACAATAAGAGTAACAGACAGCCCCCTATGCAGAGGATGTATGGAGGTAGAAGAAACGCCACAGCATGCCATCAGGGAATGCAGGAGTGTGGCCAACGGGCACGACTTCTCCAGTCGCCAGAATCGCTTCCGGAAGCTGGCAACAGTCTGCCAAGGCTTGGTTAATCAAATTGTCCAGCAACAAATGAGTTTCTATAGCTTCTTCCACCCCTCAAAGCCTGTTTTATTTGTAAACAATACATATGTATTGTATTATATCAAAGGTAACATTCTTAATGGCGGAAACGGAAAAGCACAGCACAGGTGACACGAGTAACGCATTTTACGTTATTTCACGGAATTGAAAATAGGAATCGTATTTTAAGAAAAATTCTAGATCCATGTAGAGAAACAGAAGAACAGGAGACATTTAAAAAAAACAGGAGATCTCCTGTAAAATCGGGAGACCTGGCAACCCTGGTTTCCAGACACGCACAATGGTCCAATAATTAGGACTAAGTGCGGAAACCGCCCCTAAAAACTTGCAGCGTGCAAACCTTAATATTACCCATAATCGACTATGGTGATGTGTGCTACCTCAACCTGAATGCAGATCTACTCAACAAGCTTGATCGACTTCAGAATAACTGCATTCGATTCGTTTTTAATCTTAGAAAATATGACCATGTGTCCGCATACTATCTCTCTTAAAATGGATGCCCATTAGGTAACGCAGATGTATGCGGGCTCTAACCACTTTGTTCACTTTGCTGGATTCTCCAAATGCCCCCCCCTTATCTCACTTCTCAGTTTCAGTACTTATGTACCTCTCATACTAAAAATCTTAGATCTTCTTTCAATCGTTTACTAGTCGTTCCATCTCACAATTCCGATATCATTCACTCTTCCTTCTTCGTCAAAACTATACTTTTGTGGAACGAACTCCCGCTAGACATTAGAATGTCCCCCAATAAACATTCCTTTAAAACCAAGCTGCGAACCTTTTTATTGGAACAGGCGTTCCGTTAAGTAGTTTGTCGTCATGTATGTATTATATGAAGTATGTATGTATGTGTATGTATATGTTTAGTTATATTATTTGTATATATTTACTTATATAGGTATGTTATTGTTATATTATTATATTTATTATGAGTAAAATTAATATTTCTTTAAATGTGATCTCCACCTCAGTTGTGCACCCTGCCACTAAAATCTCCACAACACCCTATGGTTGACTGGTAGAGAATGCCTACGGCATTAAGTCCGCCATTGTACAGTATGTGCATTAAGAATAAAATAAATAAATAAATGAATATTAATGAATGAAGTCAAGTTGCCAATAGCGTATTTTAGTCACATAATTTTTAGAAATAATAATTTATATGTATATACATATATACTCTTTATTGCACACAAAAATTGTAAGACACAAAACATAAATATGTGAGCAAAGGAGGAAATTATTTCGTTACTTAAATATTTTATTTCTTAGAACACTTTAGTTGCGATTTATGTTTTTCTATTAGATTCTGTAAGTATTATTAGTTATTCCAGTGTGTAGACACATTCAAAATTTACTGCACAAAAGCATTATTGTCGCTAGATTCGTACCGTGAAAATGCGGTTTTATGCGCCACTGCACTTTAGAGGAAGCGTAAAGTGGCTTTAAGACCATCTTGTGTTTGAAGTGTCTTACGTAGCCGCCTGCATGATACTAACTTTGGCTGTTTCATTTTAACTAAAATCAAAATTGAAATAAAATCCAAGTTTTGTCAAAAGCTTCTCCTTTCTAATATGAAAATATTTTTATAGGTAGTAATTTCGAAACCGTGAAATAAACACACAGTGTGATCTTGTGGCGTGTGGCCGAAATCGAAAGTAAATCTAGGAAGTAATAAAATAAGCCTTTTATTTATGAGAAGTATTTTTTTGTTCCCTCCCAGGCGGGGAGCGGGTGCAAAATTCTCATGGATACAGCCGGCTGGAAGGTTACGTCAGACTCCTACCCTCATATCAATAAACGAACTACGCTTGGATTAGTTACTCCATGTTTTGTCACTGTCTTTTGAATGACATTTGAGTGACATGAACAAAACACGGCGTAACTAGTCTAAGCTTATTCCTTATTTATTAATAAGGGGGCTACTGCCTAAAACACACCCGTAGTTCATGCTTATGGCCGGAAGGGCCTTACAAGCTTCATCTGAAGCGATGAGTGGGGGATGTAGAAGGTGTTAATAGGTCTTTTATATTTCCTATTACTCTTTACGAGTTATTGTACATTAAAACGTTTCCTTTTATTAAGCAGATTTTACGTACTTAATATTTCTCCTTTCATCACTTCACCACCATCAGCTTCCTCCAGTCAATGTCTTTTAAGTACCACAAGATTTTGGTTGCCCTGTAAAACTAAACATAAATACTACTATCTAATTCAAACGTAAAGCCTTCGTCTCATAAAAAGTATGAGCTATGAAACCCGTTTGTGTCAGTGCCAGTCTAGACTAATATAATACAAACAAATAAGGCGAAAAGGCCTTAGATTATTTACGAAGGGCATATTGCGTGATAAAAAATTATAGCGGTTTTCTCGCGGAACGAACTCGTTTGTTCTTATCAAGGAGTCGTGATAAGGCACTGATCGTAAAAGGGAGAGGAGATACACTTAAGCTTATCTTGTATTGACGAAATACTTCATCATAATTCAGGGGGCTGTCATGACGCCCGATAGGCCTTTGTTTATCTTGAGGCGGACGCATTTTGTCCAGATTCCCCCCGAGACAAGAAAAGAATCGGAATGAAGGCACGAAATATGTTTTTAGGCGAAATAAAGACACACAAATGAGGACGTTGCGACGACGGTGAGACAAGACTATTCTTTATTTATCAGGCGAGTTAACATTTTTTGTCAGGCTTATCGTGACTGTTTTAATATGCTGTAACAAAAAACAACGCGTCGCAATTCCTGAATGAAAGGCCAAGATTCTATTTATTTCTTTTTGTCTGTTCTAAAGTGAGACGAAATTACTATTTGATAGTCTTTAGTACAAAAAAATATATGTGACACAATATTTTATAACACATATCACTAATTACTGCTACTTCAGAGGCTCAGACTAATTAGTCCGTGCTATTATTATTGTTCTTTTAAACACGAATGCCCCTAAAAAAGAGTGTCATGTATTCAGTTTTCATGTATGTATGAATGTTCATTTTTTTATTTCACCATAACTTCTAAACGACTGAATCGATTTAGATGTGCGTGGTATAATTAAAATCCTTTCACCATCCCGGGTAACCTAGGAAAGGTAGGATACCTAAACTGTTAAAATTGAAATAAAAGCAATGTCAAAATATCAAATATTTATGTCAATAAAAAAGTCTTCTAATTGTTACAATATGGGTATAGGTATTATTTGAAAGGTCTTAATAAGACAATATCAAATATAGTAGAAATAATAAATGAGTTTACCCGTAAAACGAGATAAATATTTTCTTTTTTAGTTATTTTTTTTACGACATTCGTGTTTTTTAATTATCTTGGTGTTATAAATATTTGTTGTTTTTATTCCGCTCTGCATAGTTTGATTTTCTTTGTCTGGTACATTTATTAAGAGTGCACTAACTTGTGCACGTTGTACAGCATTGCGCCTATATTTATGATAAAAAATAAAATATCTTTATTCTTTACGATGGATGCTTAATGTGAGTTCGTAGTACAATCATGTTCATAAAAATATGTGGTGACAGTATGGTCAGAAAATTACGTAGACATTTGAATGAATAATATCTGTTTGCGCTAGATATTATTCTAATGAATTCGGTCAAATTAGACAGAAAAATAAGAGTGAAAGTAGATACATTTTCATCAAGCTGGAAGTGAGTAAAATTGTTTAAAATATAATTAAAAATAACATTTCCAAATACCCCATTGTTTCCGTATTTGGAAAAAAGTAGTTACTTTAAAGAGGTAATATAATTTTTAAGTGGCTTTTTCGAGATTTTCATCAAAACGGTAAGTTTTATCGTGAAATTGCATGAGACAAATATTGTAGATCATAATATTAAATATAAAAAAATATGCGTATTTTTTTTATTTTTTCCCAAGAGCCACCGTTCCTGAGATATAACATTTCAAAAAGTTGTAATCGTTATAATATTAGGTTAGGGGAAAAGTCTTTTCTCATTATAGTATGTATGAACTTGTACCTGGTTGGTTTAGTTATCATTAAAAAGTATTAGTTTTAAAGTAGATAATTCCAAATTTAAATTAGAAAAATGTGTAATTTTCATTTGTTTATCTTACTGGCATGATGAGAGAACCTAATGAAGAAATGCGATACATTTTAAAATTTTACTAGAAAAAGTTAAATAGAAACGCAAGCCGCGAAAATTTTTTTTTACTTTTTATGGATCCAGTACAGAGTCTGTGAGAGTAGCGCAAATTTAGTTTAGGAGTTTTCAATCCGGAATTTTTGATGTCAAAGATGCACGTCGCTCTGGTACGAAATTACGAATTAAATGAATGCCATTTTTGAAAATAGAGGGTGATAGTCGCTTACACACGGGGACTAGCCGGATTGGGGAGTGATTTATGCTTTTGGTGTTCAACGTCTTTATTTAGTGCTGTTTGTTTAGTACTTTTTGATTGAGAAGTTTTAAGACTTGTTGTTTTCCGGTACACATGATGTCGAACTTGATCTGGAACGAAATGTGTCGTATCCTTTATTTATCTACTTTGGCACAGCGCAGGAAACTGCGTTTGTTTCATGTTCGCTGCTCTTTGAAGACTTGGATATTTTTTTTATATTATAGGGGGCATACGAGCAGACGGCTCACCTGATGGTAAGTGATATGGTAATGATACATAGTCGATACGTATCACACGGTGAATTAAGACGGAGATAATTAAGTGTATATAATTATCGTCAAATTGACGATCCACATTTGTATTGACAGAGAGAGAAAAAAAAATACGTTTAGGAAACAGGAGCTCTATTCTCTTTCTCCGAAACGAAATTTGGTAACGAACGAAAAAACACGCACATAAAGTTCGGAATCACAAACAATTTTCATGAACGAATGGAATGAGTTATGTTTGTGAGTTATTTTTACCTCCACTTTTTAGATTAGCTGTTTCACTTGGAAACAACTCTACTTTACGACAACATTTTTGATGACACTAAAAGAACTTTCTTGGACAGTGTTAACCTATTAATTTGTATATATAGTTGGGTAACTTTTTTTTTATGTTATAGGCGGCATACGAGCAGACGGCTCACCTGATGGTAAGTGATCACCGTCGCCCATGGACACTTGCAACACCAGGAGTATCACAAATGCGATGCCGGCCTTTAAGGAAGGAGTACGCTCTTTTTTTGAAGGTTTTTGGGTCGTATTGGTCCGGAAACACTGCTGGCGACAATATATTCCACAGTTTTGTCGTACGTGGTAAAAAAATTCGACAAAAACGCATGGTTGTGGATAGCCACGCATCAAGATGATGGGGATGAAATTTTTGTCGCGATGTACGATGGCAAAATGCAGCAGCTGGAATTAATCCGAACAATTCCTCAGAACACTCTCCGTGATAAATGCGATAGAAGATGCAGAGCGAAGCTACATCCCTACGCAAAGCCAAAGGATCAAGCTATAAGGATGGCGATCTTTTCCTCTTTGTTTCTGTCACTTCTTTTTCTCTTATTATGATCTTATCATAACGTATGAAAGCTGATTTTCCTTTTCTTTCTTCTTGCTCTTTCCTTTCAGGACCCACAGGAAAAAGTAGGGTTGGCAGACCATATAAACAATGGGCAGATGACATTGTAAGCATAGCCGGTGAGAACTGGACCAAAAAAGCCAGCAACAGGGTCGCGTGGAAGGAAATGGAGGAAGCCTTCACCCTTTCAAAAATTTAGTATGTTCGTTCAATTATGATAAATAAAAGGCTTTTTATTTTAATTATTTTTGAAAAAGTGGAATTAGACCAGCATTTCAATAGTTACGACGTAGCTGAAGAACTGGGAATTGACCACAAAACAGTTTTGGCGCATTTGAAAATTTTTCAGTACACAAAAAAGCTCGACATTTGGGTGCCTCACGAGCTCACTGAAAGAAACCTAATAAACCGTGTACTCATTTGTAATTCTTTATTACGACGTAATGAAACCGAACCAATTTTGAAGAAGCTGATAACTGGCGATGAAATGTGGATCACGTACGACAACATCGTTTTTTTTTTATAGATAGGTTCGACAAATTACTCTGCCCCACCTGATGTTAAGTGACGGTGAAGTCCAGACGTAAAGAAAGCTGGTATAGCAGTTCTAACTGCCACACCAGCCATCCTCACATTGCCGGCCTGCATGTTGCTTCTTCACGCCTCTTTTAAAGGATCCCAGGTTGTAAGAAGGAGGGAACATGTGAGCGGGCAAAGCATTCCATTTACGGATAGTGCGACAAAGAAATGAGTCAATAAATTTCTTTGTGCGCGTTGGAATTGTTGCCATAATAGGCCAGCGCCTGTGATCCTCTGCAGGAAAGGGGAAGGTGGAATACGAGAGAATAACTCCTCAGAACACGGAGTGTTACAGACGATAGAACGCGCTAAGTGACGCCACGTCACGGCGTAATTGAAGAGGTTCGAGGTGTTTAGTTACCTCCTTATTGCTTATGATGCGAATTGCGCGCCCTGTAACCTATCCAAAGCATCAAGCAAGTACTTGGCGAAGCCATCCAAGAGGTGCGAGCAATATTAGACGCAAAACCACACCTGCGCGTCTTATACAACAAGCACAGTTGCTTAGGCGTGAAAAAACGCCGCACCTTGTGCAGTACTCGTTTTTACCACGCTTTCTATGTAATTCTTTGGATTTAAGTCATAACGAATTTCCATACCGAGCATGGTGATACTGCTCTCCAGCTTCAGTGTTGTGCACTGAAGAGAAGAGAGAAGAGCGAGAGCCCTGAGGAACACCGGTATTCACTGACATGAACCGTGAACTGCTACCATCCGTAAGGACATGAATTCTGCGCTCATGCAGGAAGTTAGCTGCCCAGGACTGGGCCGGCAGGCCGTATACCGGAAGCTTGGAGAGAAGGCTTTTCTACCAGACCCTGTCGAAAGCCTTGGCAATTTCAATTCTGATAGCCAATGACTCGCCACGCTTGTACGCTAGAAGATCACCCGTCGATCGTTTCGGTCTAAAACCATACTGACGGTCATTAATCAGAGAGTGATCCTCTATGTAGATATGTATGAGAGAAACGAGCGAACGTTGTCGCGACAGGACCGGGCAAATTAAGGAGTTTTGTTTCCCCGAATGACTGCCTGCAGAGGATATGCGCCGACCCGCCGGACGGAAGGGCCTCCGCACCTCCCCGGAAGTGGCCGCCGGGAACCGACGCCCCGGTCACCAACCGGCACGACGGTCCACCCCCAGATTATGTGTGACATGATAGTTTACCATAGTCACGAGTTTGTAAATATTAATTCCGCACGAATATCATACAACGTTTTTCAACACATTTGCGAGAAAAAAGTATAATTTTTAAGCAATGAAGCAAACTTTTTTTAAGATGAAAATGACGTCCATGTCTACGTGGCGCCACGTGCTAGTGGCGAAAATTAGAACTACATCTTACGGACCTTTTTTCTTTTTTTAGTATTAAAGTGAGCCAAAAGTATAAATCAAAAGCGCTTCCAAGGAGGTTCGATCAAAAAAAAATACCGTAAAGGATACGCACGGTGTCATATACTGGAGCGTGCAGTATACACCATCCGACACCTCCTACATATAGTATCGAAACCAACAAAATGTGTAAAATTACTTTATTACAGTTTTACATATAATTAATGGTATATTATCGCCTGAACTGATCCAAAAATAAAAAAACTGCAATAAAACACGAAATAATAAGACCGTAAACTATCGTATGTTTATCTCACCCGAAGTAATATGTGGTATAGCACACTTTCTATACGATACGGGGGGGCGGGGGCATCGCTGAGCTGCGCGACCGAATCGTAAGTGTTAGTAACCATTGAGTACGCGGGGGTGACTGTCCCGCGCCTTTTTATGTTTGCATTTTCTGTTATTTAGCACTCTGTTGTCATAAAATAATCTACAGTGTTATATTAAATCATAATTATGTCGTCAAGATCGCGACGAATGATTGAAACAGCGACTAGAAATTATAACTTGGATTCACAAAAACAGTTGACCGTTCATAATTCAAACTATGATGTTGACGTGTGTACGACACTACCGACAACTCTGTTGTTGAAGAGTCTATGAGGATTGAGGGTAAATAAGTGTTTTCTAATATTAAAATAAATATCTTTATATATATAATTCTTCTGTGAGTGTGTATGTCACTGAACTTCTCTTAAACGACTGGACCGATTTTGATGAATTTTTTTGTGTGTGTTCAAGGGGATCTGAGAATGGTTTAGATTCACAATTTTGTCCGCTGGACAATGTTTTTTTACAGGACAACGTCTGTCGGGTCCGCTAGTGTTTATATAATAACTTAAAATCGCTTAGTTCCCATAGTAAAATATCGTAAGTATGACTTACTATACTATACTTCCATATCAGATACTTTTCAACTATCTTAAGTGACTACTTACGATACTATACCATGGGATAAAAATATAAATGGTTGTCGTATTTAAACTTCCGAAACTTTACTTTGAAATGTCAACGTATTTTTCTATTGTATGTGATACTTAGTATATTTTACTCTGGTACAACTTATAATTTACAATATTATTCTTTCCGAAAAAGAGCAGTTTTAAGTATTTTTTAATATTTTTGCAGAGTAACCACTTCCGTTCGACGTAAACATTGCAGAAATAAATGAAATGATGGATTTGTTAACTGATTCTGAGGAATTATTTGAAGTAAATAATGTTTCACTTATGGAACAAAGTAAGTAATAGTAATACATGCAATAACGTTCTAATACTATATTGTATTACGTTTACTATGTTTTATTCCAGACAACAAAAAATATTGTTATAAAATCATATATTTCGTTCTTCTTTTTAGGTCCTGATGAGGAGTCTTCAGCCATTATTGAGAGCATAACGCGACATCCTTCGCCAGACTGTACAATAAATCATCTAGATTTTGATTGTGATAACCAATTCTGTCCCTGGTTTATTGAAAAAGATATTTCACCACCACAATCTGTTGATTCAACTTACACTGGTTTGGTTTATACTCCGCAAGCAAACACACCTTTATCTTCTTTCTCAGAAGCGACATTACAAACTTCTAGAAAGAGAAAGAACAACCCAAGAAAGGACAAAGGAAATATCAGACGTCGTCATGTTACTGAATGGAAAGACAACAAGAGGAAAATATTAAGAAACTTGGGTAAGGCGTATAAGAGTCGCGACGGTACTTTTAGGTGTGGTAAATCTTTGGGACCTATATGTCATACGAAATGCAGATTACAATGTTTAACTAAAATAAGTAATGAGGAAGGAATTATGATTTTTAATCGGTTTTGGGATTTAGGTAACCGTGAAAGGCAATGGGCTTTTATTGCAAATTTGGTTGTTAAACAAAAGAAACGCAGGGTTTTTACTGATACTCATTCTAGGCGTAATTTTACTTTAATTTACAGACTAACAAAAATTGAAGCAGAAAATCAGGAAATAGATTTGTCTGTATGTAAAAAAATGTTTTTAAATACCTTTTCAATAAGCGAACAATTTGTATATACGTCTTTAGAAAAAAAAGATAGCATAAGCGGTATAGTAGAAGCAGATATGCGAGGTCGTCATTCCAATCATCGCAAAGTAATAACTGAAGATGTTATCAAAAGTGTATGTGATCATATAAAATCTCTACAACCGGTAGAGTCACATTACACTCGCAGCAGAAGCAATAAACTTTACTTAGACGGAGATCTAAATTTTAGTCGCTTGTTCGATTTATATCATGAGTGGTTCAATACACTTACTTACACTTCCAAAGCTAGTTCTGAACGGCAATACCGTGATATCGTTAATGAACACTTTAAAATTAGCTTCCATGTTCCAAAAAAAGATCAATGTGACAAATGCCATATTTACAAAAATATATCGATTCCAACTTTATCAGAAACACAGTTATACGAACAACATCTTAATAATAAAAAAAAAGGTCGAAAACAGAAGTTACTTGACAAAGAACTTGCCAAAAACTCAAACGGAAGATTGACAGTTGCTACATTCGACTTTCAAAAAGTTCTCACTGCTCCATACGGAAATATAAGTGTCCTTTATTATAAAAGAAAGCTCTCTGTATTTAATTTTACTGTTTTTGACTCAGCCGCACAAGAAGGTACGTGTTTCATGTGGCATGAAGGACAAGGGAGACGCGGGGCCAATGAAGTTGCCAGTTGCTTATTTAAGTATATAGCTAAATATAAGGATCAAGGCACACGTGAATTTCGGTTTTGGTCGGACAATATTGTAGGCCAGAACCGAAATCGAATTCTTTATGCTATGTATATGCACGCAGCTATAACATTCGAAGTCACTATTCATCATTGCTTTTTAGAAGTCGGTCATACCCAAAATGAAGGTGACAGCGTTCACGCATTAATTGAAAAAACTGTTAAGAATAAGCTTATTTATACACCATTTGAGTGGTATTGTTTAGTTCGTTGGGCTAAACAAACTGGAAAGCCTTACGTTGTCGAAGAATTGCAGTTTACCAACTTTTTTAATTACAAAGCTTTATTAAAGGGAAATTGGGTGAAAAGCACTAATGGGGATAAAGTGCAATGGAATAAAATTAGAGAAGTCCTTATAAAACCGGAAGATCCCTATAAGTTATTTTATAAATATGATTTAGCTGCGGATGATTATCATGTTTTATGTGTAAGGGCCTCCACCAGGAGACAATGTGTTTCCAATGTAGAAGCACTTTATGAAACCTGTCTGCCTATTCCCAAGGCAAAAAATTGACTTAGTGAATATGTGCAAGTCTCAAATCATTCCCAGTACTCACCATGTTTTTTTCCAAAGTTTACCAGAGAGCGACAATAATGTTAATATTGACTCAGATTCGGATTTTTTTTTATAGTACTTTTACTATAAAAAAAATAATCCGAATCTGAGCTTAAAGCAACTTTTTATGTGATTTGTAATTTTTATAGACTGAATAATTAGACTGATAGTTCTTAAGGTAAACAGATAGAAAGTAGAATTTTGTTGATTTTGTCTTTGAAAGAGATTAGTTTAATTTTTTGAAATTTTATTAGTGTTTTTTAAGTAGATTTTGTCATTACTTTTAAGTTTTGGGCGGATTGGTCAATGCTCAAATAAAAATTGTTACATGTCATTCGTATCAATCTTGATTTGTTATTGACATAATTGTAATTTTTCTTAGATGTGAATTTAACTGACTGATAACTTTTATTCAATAATTGAATACTTAGCCCTTTGATAAACCAATGTTGATTTTGAATGCTGTGATTGCAAAATATAATACTTTTCAGTTTAATTTAAGCTATTTTATTTCAATTTTCCCTTAATATATGGCTTACGAAGCGATATGCCGATCGATACCGGTAAATGTAGAAAAAAAATGGTTGCCTGTAAAGTCGGTTTTACGGGCGAAGATTTTACGTGACAACGTCTTTTTCTCGGTAGAATATTTATTGATATGAATATAATTAAATTGCACAATAGGAACAAGGAATTGAATGAAAATAAGAATTGCACAAATTTTAACTATAGAAATATATTTTGTTTACTAAAACATTGTACATGTAAACTTAAACTTAACACAAGAGACTCATCGTAACGTTACAGAGCGTTACACTTTTTCATAAGTGACTCCCAGCCGCAACCTAATTTAAGACGTTGTCACGTCAAAAAATCTATGGTAAGTTCACACATTTTGAAAATTACTATTTAGATATCGATGTAAGTAATTGTAAGTATATCATACGATATTTAACCATTCGCACAGTTCAGTGTAAAGTGTGGGAAATGATATATACAATAAAATACTACTGATTTTTTCCAATGTAAAAAACAGTATGCGACTTTTAAGGAAATCCACCAAAAAAAACAAGTAATCTTATTAAAGGTTACATTCCAATTATAATATATAGGGGTATGCCAATTTTGATTCTCGTACAAGAATACCTGTCTTCGTGGGAACCAAAAATGTGCCTGCGAATCTTAAAATTGCTGTACTGTATAGTTGCTTAAATAGACTTACGATATTATACGTAGGAGGTGTCGCTGTTGTTTGGTGCGTAATTTTGAACAATGTATACAACCTCCGTAAATGTATTTTTTTAGCAAATGTGTTGAAATAGTTATTTATGATACAAGTGCGGTAAGTTGAATATTACAAACAAGTAGACAAATGTAAGTCCGAAACGAAGTCGAAGGCTTACCATAGTCACGAGTTTGTAAATACCAATCCGCACGAATGTCATACAACGTTTTTAACACATTTGCGAGGAAAAAGTACCAATTCCCTATTATCACCCACCAATTCCTTTATCATCCCTTTCACCCTCCAATCCCCCTTTTTACCCTCGAATCACTTTTCACCCTGAACCCTCTTTCCACCGTTGAATCCCCTTTTCACCCTCGAATTCCCTTTATACCCTCTAATACCCTTTTCACCCTCCAATCCCTTTTTCACCCTCCAATCCCCTTTTCATCTACCAATCTCCTATGCTCATTTAGTTTAATACTTTCTGATGAAGATACTCCTCCTCTCTCACTCTGAGTATGTTGTAGAGAATATTGTAAACAATTTAAAATTAATGCTGCCTGACACATTTTGTTCGCAGTATTTATTCTCCTGTACTATTCGTTCTTGATTCGTAATTTATCTTGCTGTTGGCTCTTGTGCTGCACTTATTACATAAGAACTGCAGTAATGTCAAGATTTATTTTAGTTATTTACTTGATTTTGGATAGTTCACATATGTGGTGTTAATGCGAACGCCGTCAAGAAGTCACTACCAATCGTCACATATAATGTTCTCTCTAACCTCACTGCGTTTCGCTTGCATCTTCGCCAATCAGATAGGAGCAGCGTTGTGAGGAAAAGAGACGGAATAGGATTTTCCAAACCATCGTGCAGTAAAGATAATTCCACTACCTGCTGAGCTTTAAATTATAAATCAATATTGCTACTAAGCAGTTTCACTTTCTCATATCATTTTATATTTTATTCTATAAGTGGCGTAAACAGAAGATAAATACAAAATGTATGTCGTCGTCTGTAGGTATTCTCCTTTTGTATTTTTGTTACGTGATTTCTTCATTAATTAACAAAATTATTTTTGTAATCGCAAGGGTAAGAGTGTAGAGGCGGTACGATCTGATTAAGGATTTTGGAGATGTGGAACGGAACTCTTCGTAGGAATTTAGCGGAGCAGTTGTAATATGTAACATTGCTTTATTGATACATGCAGTCAGAATGACGGAGGATGGATGGAGTTGTTACGTCAACCCTCCCTATTAAATATATCGTGTGTGGTTTTCATAAGGATTTAGTTGATGTTGCTGGGACTTATGAAAAGTGGAAAATAAAAACTAGTCAAATTAACATTTATGGTCGATGCTATACATGTTCATAGATCTGAGTTACCATTTACTGCTACGGTTAGCATAACACCAAAACAAAAAAAAGTAAATATGACTTTAAATGTACTGAAGATGTTATAAGTAAAGAAAATGTATATTTTTACTTTTTAGTGTTATTTTTATGAATTCAGTTTTTATTATTGTTAAAAAGTGTTTTGTTATAGGTAAACGAGTTATACCCTTGTTATCATTTTCAAAGTACGAAACAACATTATAATGAATTGGGGCTAAGTACCTTTTAACTGATTTCCAACAACAATGATCTTGTTAAATCACAACTTCGATTCATATTTTATTGAATTAATTCGGGTGCGGGGAATCCCTGTAAATATTAATTTTGGGGTTTTGGTAAGATAACCTCCAATTTGCAGAAGACTACAGTAAAATAACTTTACCTTTTGGTGGTGTTATGTTTCTGTTTGTGCGTAAGGTTTTTAGGGCTCAACGGGGTAGGCGATGGGGATAGGGCAGGCAACGGTGCGAGTGATATTTTTGGTATCGCAAACGTTTATAGGCTATAGTGGCATCAAACATCTTGTAACATCTGTTTTAACAACTGGTTGTATTCTGTGATGGTGAATAAATGTTATTATTATATTATTATTACTATCTTTATACCATTGGATGCGACAAGTGCAACGTGTGTGATTATTTTCCGACCGGGCCATATACTTATAATATTTGACGACCTCCGTGGCCGAGTGGTTTATACGCCGGGTTTCATGCTTATCATTGATAAAGTGATAATCTACGTGATTTATCTGTATTAAACACAGAACTCGGAAACAGGTTTCTCGCCTCCCACTTTCTGAGTTTCTGGTATTATATGCTAATTGTTTGAAGCGTGGTTACTAAAGTTACTACAGTATCTTTACTACAATATTGTTACGTGTCGGAATGGGGTTCGTAATTATAACGCCAGTTCACGCTTGACAGTTCTTTATTTAGCACATAGTTCACACAATTTATGGTAAACACACAATACTGCACTCTCTGTACACTACATAAATCCTTAGAGAATCGCACACGAACACTTTATCTGCACTTTAGTCGCCTTTTTAATCGTTCCAAAATCGCTGTTGAAACTCAACTGTACACTGCACGACGCCGGACGCCCTTATATACGCCACTCCACGCATTCCAGTATGTTCGTGATTTTGGTTACAGAACATTCGTGACAATAGGTAAAATCTGTGCCATGGGATTCCACAGATCTGAGTTTCGGCTTAACTTTATTTTACTGGGTTCCACTAAACCTACAGCAATGTTTCTTCTAATTCATATGGACCCATGATTTTCTCAAAAACATCGTCGTTAGATAAACTAATAGAACTCTAAGTCTCTAATCCTTAATATATCGCCTTACCGCGCGAGCGAGGAATAATCGGGAAATAGTTAAGTGTAACAGAGTGAAACAGCTTTCATGAATTAAGGTAGAAACAGACTTATGAAACGCGACGCCACCCCACGCCATGCGACGCGTATTTTCTATGGTATCGCGTCGTCGGATGTTCCTAATGTGATTCTGATCATAGAAAAGAGTACATTTTGATTTGACTCAACACGCGTGGCGCGCGGCGTCGTTTAGTAAGCCTGTTTCGGCCAATAGAGTTTTCCGAAAGGTGGAAACGATAGCGAAGGTTAGTTTTTCGATGAAATTAGAAAATTATAATTTTTTCACAAAAACGTCATTGGCCGGATTATAATATAATAGCTACGCCGGTCAAAGACAATGTCCACTTTCTCGTGATTTGCAGCTTTCCGTCCTTGTCTTTACCATATATTATTACAAATATTTTCTATCGCTATATGTGGGAAACAACCAGGTCAGAAAAAATAACAAAGTACTGGTATAAATGAAAACAAAACTAATAAAAGTATCCATTAACCCTATAGATAAAGTCTGAAAGTTGTAACAATTTTTGTTATCACCGGCTATTTCAGGGCTTACATGAGACTCGAAACTTATTTAATTTATAATCAGGGCGCCGTACTACTGTGATTTGAGGGAGATAAATGAAAATGTCTAAAACCGCAGTGAACAAGATATTATATTGTCAAAAAAAGATTCCGATCTTATTTCATCATGGTTAAAACTTAATACTAGTCACATTCAACTTAATAAATACATAGCTATATTTCCTCAAAGATTTTTCTTTTGATTTAAAGATATTCATACATTCAAGATCATGTGCTAATACAGTAATACTCAATTTAAGTTTCTTATATAAACAAATTATTAAACAAGTTATAAAATATTAAGTTTTAGAAATTTAACAATAAAAATTTGTTATGTTCTTATAATGGCTTTACAGTTTACCAATACAAATCCTTTATCACGTTAAACAGAAATTGTTCTCCGGAGTATGCACTGGTTAAATATCAAGAAGTTATAAGTTTTACTTAGCTTGGCAAGATCATGGGAGCATCAGGATGACT